GAGACCTTTCTGTAGGCCCTGTACCTGGCCATGTCTAAATGTACCAGACAGTGGTGGCAGGCCATGTCATAAACTGTCCTGGAGCAATGTCATGTGGTATGGCTTTGCATGTTGAGGCGTGTTTGGCTTGCTATGACAAGGCTAATATACTTGCGTGAATACACTTGGGTGTCTGGGTCCTGATGGGTTGTTGGCCAGCACTTGAAAAAGATTTGGTGTCTTTCGCCTGGCACCATGGGGCATGTGAAAGGGGTCAACAGAGGCAGCATGGACTGTGGGGACAGGGTCCCCAGGGCTGGTTGGGGGGATTCAGGAGTTAATGAGATTACATAGCCAGAGCTGAAATTCCAACTCTCACCTGTCTCTAGAAGCCAGGGAGGGGAACAAGGTGTATGTATGGGGGGAGCAGGGCACACCTTCCTCTGCCCACCCCCTTGGGAGATGCTGGGTTTGGCCTGGCAGATGCTCGCAAGAGGAAGATGCCCAAATCCCAGGATGACTAGGGTCCCCATGGTTCAGGGCGTGGAATGTTTGCTGGAAGGGCGTAGTGCTCTGGGTGCAGGTGGGGGGAGAAGGAATCAGATACGGCTTTGGAACTTGCATGCAAAGAATGCGGAGCTAAGGTAATGAGCTTCAAAACCTGAAAGCAGAAACTCGGGTCTATACTGCAGGCACCGAGAAACTCAGAGTGTGTGCTGATGGTGAATACGAAGCACATTGGGACCTAGAGGATCTGGATGGCCCCCGTGAGACTAAATTCCAGCTTTCACCATCAGGCTAGGGAGCTGTGGGAGGTGTTAAGAGCCAGGTTAGTAACAGGCATCTGATTAGCATGTCATTTGCATAGGCCACACTTCCCTGCCCTTCCAACTGGGTTTGGCGGGGTTGCAAAAGGAGGGCTGGGCTCCACCCAGCCCACCGGGATTAGTGGCCAGCTGTCCCCTCCTGGGCGGTAGCTGAAACCCAAACTGGGGATTAGCAAGGTTTCCGTTCTCAGCCTGGTGCTGGGGCCGGTTCTCAGGCCTCACCTGTGCAGGTGTGTGCTGGGTGGTTTCGTCTTGGGAGGGCAAGACCAGCCTGAAGGGTCAGTCAGTGACCTGGCCTCCACCTGGTGCTCCTGAGCTACAGACGCCTTGGGGAGCTCTGGGGCTGGTGACCTTTGGACCCCTGAGCACTCTCTTTGGACTGAGGCAGACTTAGAAGAGAGCCGGGAAACTGAGCGGGCAATGTTGCCTGTGCTATGGGCAGAGGAGCAGACCTTAACCCCTCTTGTCCTTCTCCCCCCTCCCAAGAGTCCAAGAATGACCTTAGCCCCCAGTCCCACCTGGTAGCCCATAGGGGAAGGGGGCAAAAGGTCACCTGCTGGAGGGTGGGGAAGGAGTTCGAGCTGGAGGAGGGGGCGGGGGCTGGTTCCCAGGCCTCCCAGAGCGGGGTCTGGCCGTTCCCACGGGTGCCCCCATGGCAGATGGGCCCAGGCCTCTTTGTCCTACCCTCCGCAGCAGCCACAAGGTCAAATGTCACCGCGGGGCCGCGGGCAGGGGTCAGGGGGGTGGATCTGGACCTGGAGTCGTCTCCCCTCCCTTGCAGGCGGGCCCCAGGGGGGTGGAGGGTCAGCAGAACTACTGGGAGGGGGCAGGGGAGCCGCCAGGGGTTGGACCTCCTTGAGGGTCTGGGATCTGCTGCGGACCTTCTAACCCTAGTCTCCAATCCTGCCCCAGACATGTCTCTCTCAAACCTTTCCCCTCCCTTCTCCCTTCCCCAGCCCCACTCTGACTCTGAAACTTCTCTCCCTTCTAAGCCTCCCTTTCTAAAACTCCCATTTCCCCAGCACGGATCCTGGAAGATCCAGGCCAGGGACCTAGGACCCTTGTCCTCACCTCAAATAACCAGTCAGCACCCCCACATTCCCAGGAAGCCCCAGAATCAAAGGGTCCTCTCTAACCACTCAGGTCGCCCTCCCTCAGCAAGGCTTACAGGGCAGAAGTCCACTCTAGTTAGACACATGGAAAGTCCTAGCTGAAGTCTAACCCTAGTCCTTCTTACTCTCTCTATACCTGTTAAAACCTTCCCCACCTCCTATTTAGCCAGACCCTCCCTGGGAGACCCAGAGTCCCAGAGCCCTGGAGGACTGTGCTGGCTTTCCCAGGACCTTGGTATCTTTTTAGGTGTTGCAAGATTTCTAAGCACCCGCCCCCCCTCCCCAGGGTGCTTCTTCAGATGTCATCTAGAGAGAGGGTGCCTTTTCCTAAGGCCCTTTCCTGAGAAAGGAGGGCATTGGAGCCTCAGGGGCAGAGGGCACTGCTCTTCTGCCCCTACAACCCTCAGAGGCCCAGCCACGTGGCCTCGTGCCTGGCTCTGGGCAGGGTAGGGCAGGGCAGGGCAGGAGATAAGGCTTGGCGACTGGACCTGGGGGACTCTAAGGTGAAAGGTGAAAGGAAGGGCTTTTCCAGCTGGTTAAACGTTAACAAGCCCAGAGCCAGGGGCTCCTGCTTCTCCTGCTAGAAGCAGCCTGGGAGCATTGAAAGGGTGTTTAATAAGTGCTGGTTGACCCTAGCCCAGGGTCTGGGTGGTGTTGTGGGCAGGTTTTGCAGGCAGGCAGCAACTGGGAGGAGAGCTTCAGGAGCCTGGAAGAGACAGCTGCAGTCCAGCCGGCCGCCTGGCCAAGCCCTTTCTATAAAGCACCGGAAAAAAAGGAAATTAAAGGGGAAGGGGCAGGCCCCGGCAGGGGTGGTGGGCATTCCTGTCGCCTCCAACCTCGCCGGGCGACCTGCCCTCAGAGGCCTGAAATTCTGGCGAGGGACCCCTTGACCTCGCGTCCCCGCCAGCCGCCGACCACCACATCCCTTCCCCCTGGATATTCCAAGCACCAGGTGTTCGCCCAAGCAGAGACTCGGTGGGTGGGGGTCGGACGCGGTGACTTACTGGAAGAGGAAGCAAACGCAATCCATTTTGCAACTGTGCAGTGCCCCCAGGGTGTACGGCGTGAGCGCGCGCTTGCGCTTGTGTGTATTGCACATGGTCATGCCACCCGGGTGCAACTGGACCCCCATTATTGCTTCTGCCGGGAATGAGGGGCTTCCTTTGAGGGCGGTGGAGCGAGGCAATGTCCAAAACAGGAGGTGGAGGGGAGGGTCCTGTAAAGGTATCTTAGCGAGGCTGCGGAAAGGCTGAGGGCAGCGGCTGCTCAGGTTCCCGCCACGGCCGGGCAGGGGTTAAGGCTGGAGCGGGGGTGTACAGGGGCGAGGGTGAGGAGGGGGAGGGTCAGGCCCAGCAGCTAGGCG